ATGGCTCTTTGAGTATTTTAAGGTTGCAGACCCTTGATCTAGTTTTTCGGGTCTTTCCAACAGCGCGCCCATCGCTGTCGTCCACCCTCCAAATTTATTAGGGCTACAGAATGAATGTGTGTAAGAATGGATTGCACACAAAGTGTTGCCTTTTTGGGTTTTCCTGCCTTGCACCCTGATTAGTTTCGCATCATCGAGAAAGAGCATTGTAATCTCCTATGAATTTAATAATAAATACGATCATATTAGAAGTAGAATGGATTTATGCTTTTTAGTATGAGCGTTGTAAGTAGTAAAGGGAAGATGTATCTCAAAACATGAGCTATCTAAAATGATTGTTGCTACCTCTTGCCCGCTGGATTGGTTGTTGATACGTCAAACAATCTAAACTATCATAGTTACAGAGCTGTTGTGGCATAAACACAAAAGGCTAGGTGTTAAACACATATTTATATATATATTTTTTCTACTAAGTTCAAATGCATCCAAATTGGTAAACTTGAAACAGCCAATCTCCTACAGGTTAAATAAGCAAAAGGAAACTGCCCTTGTTTATCATTTTTATAGTGTTTTAATTGGTGCTTCATAAAAGTAATTACACCCTTGGGCAGTAAACATTAGTACGTGCTGCAGAGCTTGAGCATGGATGATATTTTCTTCCAGATTTTTTTTTCAAGAAATTCATGAGATTATAATTGAACTGATTTTAACCACGAGTAACCAATTAATTTATCATTTTCTCATGACTTTGGGTTGAAAAGCCGTTTGGAGAGAGGGAAAGGCTAAATTGGTATCAAAACCATTTAAAATAAACTCGTATGCAGCAGTTTAACCGCAGCTAGAAGTTTCACATTCTTTAAGGTAAGTTTTTAAATTTCCAGACACCCCCAAATTTGTTTTCTTAGATTTTTAAATCTGAGAATTAGATATTCAGTCATCCTGGCTACATTCTCATTTGTCCTTTTTTACTGAGGAAACACCCTGATGAGTTGCAAGTTCTTGAATTTTTTTTTATAACCATTCAGCAAGCAAGATGCTTAAAAGCCTCTTTTTTCTTCTCTAGAGGAAGAAAATTAAACATTGGTACTGATTTTTTTAACCAAATCTGGTTGGTTCGGATCTATTGGCCTTTCTCAGTTGAATGAATGCCATAGATTCAACTTAATAGTTGAGAAAAGTGTAATTTCAAGGGGATTATAAGGATTCAAGTTTATAGGTTCATTTGATCATTTTTAGCGATGGGTAAGAAAGAGAGCAAAGTTTGGGTTTCATAATTATATGATTTTAAGAAAGGCTTTGTTAGACTGCAGTTGTTTCCATTTTTCAGTTATAGGTTATTATAACCTAGTTATACTGTGAACACAATGAACAAAAAAATAATTTAGCGGTAGTCTCTTTGGATAATAGACTATATTTGTATAGCTCCCATTTACTCTGTGATTAGAAAACACTGTGAGAACATAAACGTGGCAATTTTACGTGGGCCATAGTGACCTTGTATTTCTGGACAAGAACTGCTATTCAGTTATGGGGTTGGGCCATGATGGCGAACCTATGGCATGGGTGCCACAGGTGGCACACGGTGCTATATCAGTGGGCACGCGAGCGTTGACATAGCTCAGCTCCAGCATTCATGTGTGCGCCGGCCAGCTGATTTTTGGGCCTTTTGGTCCCACCGGAAGTTGGGAAATGGGCTGTTTCCGGCCTCCAGAGGCCCTCCGGGTGGGTGGGGAAGGCTGTTTTCACCCTCCCCAGGCTCCTAGAAAGCCTCTGGAGCTGGGGAGGGTGAAAAACAGGCCTACCGGGCCATCACATGCTAAAAGCGGGGGGGCGCATTGTATTATGTGTGTGGGCACACACATGAGTGACCTCCCCGCGCTTCCCCCGGTTTTCGCATGTGACAGCAAAAAGGTTAGCCATCACCGGGGTAGGGAATACAGCATTGTATTTGGAGACCTCTTACCCCCTTCTCTGTAACTGTCATCTACCAGGTTTCTCCAAATTGTTAAGAGGTCCTGTGGCATGGTGGTTAATAGTAGTAATACATTCTTCTCAGTGGTGAAATCTGAACCGGTTTGCTACTAGTTCGGTGGCCGCGCACGCATGCACAATTCGCAACAAACGCGCTGGCCGTGCATGTTTAGTTCACACCAAAAGGAGGCTTGGGAAGGTAACTAGAACAACGGCGGGGGGTGGGGGAAATCAGTTGTGGCGAGCAATCTTGGGAACCTTTTTTTAAAAACTTGTTTAAAGCATTTTTTACTTCCGATTCAGGCGAATCGGTAGTAAAACATGCTTTTAAAAAAAAAGGCTTGGACCAGCACAGCTGTGCCACGCGATCATCGGAACCTTTTTTTCACTTTTTTAAAGCATTTTTTTCCTACCTATTCGCCTGAACCGGTAGTAAAAAAATGTTTTTAAAAAGTTTTTTAAAAGGTTACCAAGATCGCGCGGTCTAGCTGTGATCTTGGGAACTTTTTTTTACATTTTTAAAGCATTTTTTACTACTGGTTCGGGCGAATCGGTAGTAAAAAATGCTTTTAAAAAGTGAAAAAAAGGCTTGGATCAGCACAGCTGTGCCACACGATCATCGGAACCTTTTTTTAAAGTTTCTTAAAGCATTTTTTTACTACCTATTTGCCCGAAATGGTAGTAAAAAAAATGCTTAAAAAGTTAAAAAAAAAAAAGTTCTGACGATTGCGCGTCACTCAGCTAATCGTCGGAACTTTTTTTTACTACCAGTTCGGCGAACCAGTAGCATTTTTTATTACCGGTTCAGGTGAATTGGCCTGAACTGATAGCATTTCACCCCGATCCTTCTGTTAATGAATGTGCAGTTAAAAACTTTCTTGTAGCACAGGGGTGTCAAACTTAAGGCTGCCCTGGAAACAGCGAAAGACAGGCCCATGGTGCCTCTGCCAGAGAAAACGAAGCTCAGAAGGGCCATGGGCAGCTCTCCTGAGCTCCGTTTTCACTGGCAGAGAATTGCCGGAGGTCGTCGCGGCTGAAAAAGGAGCTCGGCAGCCCATTTTCTCTGGTAAAGCGCTCAGGCCACCACAGGCACCCCTACATGAGTGACAAGCTGGCCACGCCCATCCTGGCCTCCCGAGGTCAAACACAACCCTAATGAGGCCCTCAATGAAATCGAGTTTGACACCCCTGTTGTAGCAGCTCCTACCGTGTTTCCCCCAAAAAATTTTGAACCCCAAAATAAGCACTTGGCTTTATTTTCGGAGAGGTCTTATTATTTTGGGGCACATGGAGCAAGACGGGGCTCCTCTTACCATCTTATCTGATTTCCAGCTCTGTCTCCCTAACCCTAAGCAGAGGAAATGGCGGGGACCAGCTGCACATGCATTTAAATATTTTTGTGGAGGGTTTATTTTCAGGGGGGGGCTTATTTTAGCTCTCAAAAACTCGATTGAGCTTATTATCCAGGGAGGTCTTATTTTCAGGGAAACACGATATTAGCAGCCGTGATACAAGACTGTGACAAGTAGTCCATTTTCTTGGTCCACAACGATATCTTTAAGGTGATGAATTAATCGGGTAATTAATAGAAGCTATATAAGCTTATCGCCGCTGTTGTTATGACTAATAATGCCATGTTTACTGGGGTAGGAAATGGAAGTTTAAATGCACAAAGCTTCAATGCGCAACTATAAATTGGCACTAGACAAGGATCAATGGAATTCACCAGGGTCCTAGTCTTGGGTCTCTTGTGGCAAGACAATGATTCCAAACTAATGACACGTTTAACTTCGCCTTCCAGCTCAGTCTGCTCTTCTAGAAAATTACAATCAGTTGCCCGTATTAGTCATATGTTGCATAACGTGAAATAAGTATCCAGCTTTCTGTAAACGCTTGCTTGGCATTTCTGCTTGATTGTCACTGCTGAACTGTAAGAAAATGCAACCCTTGAACCCAATGGCCTTGCTGTGTACCACGGATCACATGCTTGAGTTGCAAAGCCAGACAGTTGAGTAGCGACAACAGCTTTATCTCTTCCTTTCAGCCCGCTTCCACTTCTCTCCTGAGCACAAAGCACAGTTCCAAGAACTGAGTTCCGATTAAGAAAATAAGGAACTCAGTTGCACATGCCTGTACATTGTAGAAATCTACTGTTTGGGCAGGGGCTCAAATCCTCCTCTAGTCACATATTGTATTGATCATTGTTTTTTCAGAATGTTTGAAACTATATTTTTTTTTAAAAAAAATACTTGGCTCATAAGATAAAAGAACAAAAGGTGATTTACAGTAAGAAATACAGAGAAACTATTAGTGGAATTGGAATCTTAATTGTACTAATTAGTACAAAAGAAAAATGGGGGAAAGCATTATTCCAGTGTTTCCCAAACTTGGGAACTTCAAGATGTATGGACTTCAACTCCCAAAATCCCACAGCCAGCCATGCTGGATGGGGAATTCTGGGAGTTGAAGTCCACACTTCTTAAAGTTCCCAAGTTTGGGAAACATTGCATTATTCATTATTCAAAAAGATGTTGAGGCTCTAGAAAGAGTGCAGAGAAGAGCAACAAAGAGGATTAGGGGACTGGAGGATAAAACATATGAAGAATGGTTGCAGGAACTGGGTATGTCTAGTTTAATGAAAAGAAGGACTAGGGGAGACATGATAGATGTCTTCCAATATCTCAGGAGTTGCCACAAAGAAGAGGGAGTCAAGCTATTCTCCAAAGCACCTGAGGGCAGGACGAGAAGCAACGGGTGGAAACTAATCAAGGAGAGAAGCAACCTAGAACTAAGGAGAAATTTCCTAACAGTTAGAACAATTAATCAGCGGAACGACTTGCCTCCAGAAGTTCTGAATGCTCCAACACTAGAAATTTTTAAGAAGATGTTGGATAACCATTTGTCTGAAGTGGTGTAGGGTTTCCTGCCTAAGCAGGAGGTTGAACTAGAAGACCTCCAAGGTCCCTTCCAACTCTGTTATTCTATTCTATTCATTCTCTAAACCAGGGGTCAGCAACCCGCGGCTCTGGAGCCGCATGTGGCTCTTTCATCCCTCTGCTGCGGCTCCCTGTCGTCGGTCGGCTCCACAACTGATAGGGCTTTCGGTTAGGACAGGTAGAGGAAAAAGAACGCCGCTCTAGGAGGAGACTCTATGGTGGGGGGAACCGGACTTCCAGTCGAGCAGAGGAAAAAGGACACCACGCTAGGAGGAGACTCTATGGTGAGAGAACCGAACTTCCAGTTGGCTCCAGAATTGAACGGGGGGGCTTCCGGTTAGGATCTTTGCGGCTCTTTGCGTGTTTAAGGTTGCTGACCACTGCTCTAAACGCAACAAGAATTGATTGTGGTTGAAGATTTTGGGGGTATTGTTTTTCAACTAGGGCAGTGATGGCGAACCTTTTCAGCACTGAGTGACTAAACCGGAACGCACATGCATGTGCATGCATGTGCGTGCGCCTGAGCACCAGAAACCCGAAGACCAGCTAGCCGGTGCATGCCTGCCTGGTTTTTTGGCCATTTTCAGGTTGTTTTTCAAGCCGTTTTCAGGCTGTATTTTGGGCCTTTTTTGGACCCTTTTTCAAGGTGTTTTCTGGGCTGTTTTCAGGCCGTTTTTTGAGCCATTTACAGGCTATTTGGGGGGCTTTTTCAGGATGTTTTCAGGCTGTTTTGGGGACCATTTTCAGGCTGTTTTTTTGGCCGTTTTTCTGGCTGTTTTTTGGGCATTTTTGGCTGTTTTTCAGAAACCAGAAGAGCAACTGGCAATGGCGTGCGTGCCCACAGAGAGGGCTCTGTGTGCCACCTCTGGGACGCGTGCCATAGGTTCGCCATCATGGAACTAGGAAATACAAGATGGTTGGGCCAGCTAGTTTAATCAAACCAATGCTAAAAGAGAGTTTCTAAACCAATGTTTCTCAACCTGCAGAATCTCTAGATAAGGGGGAGATCAACTATTCTGAGAATTCCCCAACCAGCGTAGCTATCGGAGAAATTTTGGGAACTCAGAGCTGCATGTCTAGAAGTTGCTCAGGTTGAGAAATACTGTGGGAGATCTTAAAACCGTGTATTGAGTGGTCTTTTATGTATGCTTTTGGGAAAAAAAGAGAGTCCTGTAGCTTTTGGTTGGTTAATTTAAAGTGTTATAAATTACTGTTCGTTATTGTTAGATTATAATTAGTGAGATCTTCTTCTTTTTAGATCTGTGAATTTGCCAGTTATAAAGCCATGTAGGAAGATCGACCGTGTTTCCCCGAAAATAAGACCCTGTCTTATATTTTTTTTAAACCCTGAAATAAGCGCTTGGCCTTATTGCCATGCTCTCAAAAGCCCGATTGGGCTTATTATCAGGGGATGTCTTATTTTGGGGGAAACAGGGTAGGAATGTGTGGTCTTATAGAAAATTCTATTTCTATTATTGGAAAACAATATCTTAAACTTTTGTTTAGCCACGGTGGCGCAGTGGTTAGAGTGCAGTACTGCAGGCTACTTCCGCTAATCACCAGCTGCCAGCAGTTTGGCAGATCGAATCTCACCAGGCTCAAGGTTGACTCAGCCTTCCATCCTTCCGAGGTTGGTAAAAGGAGGACCCAGATTTTGGGGGGGCAATAGGCTGACTGTGTAAACCGCTTAAAGAGGGCGGTAAAGCACCGTGAAGCGGTATATAAGTCTTAAGTGCTATTGCTGTTGCTACAGCATGCCTGATAAAATTGTACTTTGAGGAACACCTAAACCTCAGAGGTTTCATTGCGTTGGGTATGTTTTCTTGGAACCCCAACACGGTGCACGTTAAATATAAGCTGTTGCCTACATAATTCCATTTAAAACAAAAAAGACCGTCTCCAACAGGTAATGTGCCCTCCCTTTTATACAATTAGCCACAAAAGGGCAACCTGACATTTCCGAATTTCAATAATCTTTTGTTCTCTTGCAGGAGGCAGGGCAAACTTTCCAAGGGACTACTGAAAAAGAAATCGCTTATGTCTCTTCCTTAAGACCGCCTTGGCAACCATGGGTGAATACAGTAGATTTATAGATTGGGACAAGATGGATGCTACCATCCAGGCTGATGATGAGAAGGAACTGACCTGCACTGAATTTCCCACTGAAATGCTGAAACAACTGGCTCGCCAAGGTCACTGGGCCAAGAGCCACTCTTTAAGAGCCAAAATATATGATAAATTGATCGGCTCTATCCCTTGCCGCACAGTGACACCGGATGCCCACGTCTACCGAGACATTGTGGTGAAAATCGTTGGCAAGCGAAACAGCAACGCGCTTCCCCTTCCGGAATTCGTAGATAATAGCTTGGTTCCCACGTACTGCCTGAACGCTGAGGGCATAGGAGCTATCAGGAAGATCATCTCCTGCATCGGAAGCCAGTTCCCAGACATCTCATTCTGCCCGGCTCTGCCTTCCGTGGTGGCCCTCCTCCTTCACTACAGCAGGGATGAAGCCGAGTGCTTTGAGAAAGTTTGCCGTATCCTGGCCTGCAATGACCCATCCAAGCGCTTCATCGATCAGACCTTCTTGGCTTTTGAGTCGTCTTGCATGACATTCGGGGACCTGGTTAATAAGTACTGCCAGGCAGCTCATAAACTTATGGTGGCCATCTCAGAAGACGTGCTAGAAGTCTATTCAGATTGGCACCGGTGGCTCTTCGGGGAACTGCCCCTCGTTTACATCGCCCGGGTCTTCGATGTGTTCTTGGTAGAAGGTTACAAGGTGCTCTACCGGATTGCGTTGGCTCTCCTCAAATTCTTTCACAAATTCAGAGTTGGGCAGACCCAGGAGTCGGAAAACGTTCAGCAGGACATCCGAGCGTTTGTGAGGGACATCGCAAAGTGGGTCTCTCCCGAGAAACTGCTGGAGAAAGCGTTCGCGATCCGTCTCTTCTCGCGGAAAGAGATTCAGCTTTTGCAAATGGCCAACGAGAAGGCCCTGCAGCAGAAAGGCATAACGGTGAAGCAAAAAAGGTAGTGGCATTTCAGTGACTTCCCTGAAAGGCTTTTTAAATCTAGGAACTACATTCTTGCATTATGGGGAATAAATACTATTGTAAAACCAAGCGTATCTGTGCGTCCATCCTCGGTTTCAACCATTATTGAAGATAGAGGTAGGTAAGTAGGTAGGTAGGTAGGTAGGTACGTAGGTACGTAGGTAGGTAGATAGATAGATAGATAGATAGATAGATAGATAGATAGATAGATAGATAGATAGATGATAGATAGATAGATAGATAGATAGATAGATAGATAGATAGATAGATAGATAGATATAAAGTGTTTTTCTATCGAAGCACCTGGTCTACCCCAACATGTGGGAGGGAGCATACTGCTTCCCATATGTGTGTTTGTGTGTATGTATGTATGTATTTTTCTTCAGCCGGGTATTTTCCTACGTAAACCAAGTTTTTAGCCATAGCTCAGTGAAATCACATCTACTATCCTAGGCTTCTTCAGACAGCAAGCCAGCATTTTGCTGCCTATTGGGAGACTAATATAGATCTATTTTGGACTGATTGGTCCTCATCAGTTAGCCACACCCTTACCATATGTTCTCTCCCCGTAGAGGGTAAGTATTTGCTTTCTTCTCTTATCGTAGGTTTAAAAAGTATGTATTTTTCTTCAGCCGGGTATTTTCCTACGTGAACCAAGTTTTTAGCCATACGATAAAGAGGAGAAAGCAAATACTTAGCCTCTACGGGGAGGGAACATATGGTAAGGGTGTTGCTAACTGATGAGGACCAATCAGTCCGAAATAGGTCTATATTAGTCTCCCAATAGGCAGCAAAATGCTGGCTTGCTGTCTGAAGAAACCTAGGAGAGTGGATGTGATTTCACCGAGCTATGGCTAAAAACTTTACGTGGATATCCAACACGACATCACATAATGTATCGGGACTTTTTTCCCCTTTGCTAAACCAGTATGGGTGTGGCTTTTACATTCAGTTTCCCACAAACCTTAGGGTTCAGCAACCTCCAGTTAATATATTCCGTGCTTCTGGTTTAAGAAAAAGATAAAAGAGCTTGTGAAAAGTGATGCTACGATGAATGTGAACTTTTAGCAGAGACTTCGGTTTAGATAACACCTTTGCTGTATTCACACGTTCAAGATTCACTTAGCAGTGATAAGAATCTAAAAATGACTTACGATCCTTTCTAATGGATCCCGCAGTATTCTTGCTCCTGAAATCATAAGGCATAATCTGTTATTTATTTATTTTTTAATTTGATTTATATGCCGCCCTTCTCCGGAGACTCAGGGCGGCTTACAATGCACTAAGCAATAGCCTTCATACTTTTGTATATTTATACAAAGTCAGCTTATTGCCCCCACAAACTGGGTCCTCATTTTACCTACCTTAGAAAGGATGGAAGGCTGAGTCAACCTTGAGCCTTGGAGAGATTCGAACCAGCAGAAATTGCAGGCAGCTGTGCTAATAACAGGATGCGTAGACCACTGTACTATCAAGGCAAAACCACTGTAGACCACTGTACTATCAAGGCAAAACCACTGTACTATCATCAGCAAAGGTATTGCTGATGCTTTGTTTTTAAAATCCCTGTGTTTGGGGAAAACGAAGATAAAAGGGATTTGTTGAATGGATAAGTGAACTTTTGAGGCAAGTTAGTCAGGAAAAGTAAGTTAAAAATAAATGAATTAGACCCAAAGGTCCTTTCTACAAAAAAAAAAAGAAAAGAACTGGACTTCCTTTGTTTTCTTTCAATTCTGAAGAAGTTTCTTAGATGAGAAGTGAAACATCTTCAAGAAAAGTCCAGTTGCCTTTTGAAAAAGCACCTTTGGGACAACTGCGACCTGGACGACTGAGAATCTCCCTAGATAAAAGAACTAGAAGTCGTAAATGTGGCGGAGGGAGATTCCTAGAAAAGAAATGTGACCTAGCAAATTTAAAAACCATTGAAGGAATTAAGAAATGACTTTTTTATAAAAAAAAAAAGAAAATGTGTTCAACTGTCCTTTATTTCACTGTTGGTCTGCTCAAATCTTATTCTGTGTTTCTCTGTAGGCTTTTTCCATGCACTTGGTGGGGATATGTGAAACTGCTGGTCTTTTCTTGATTTCTCCTTCTTTTTTTTTTTTGTCTCCCTTCTCGTGCCTTCTTTTCTGTCCATTCCGTATCTGCTGCGTTGCTTTGCAGTAGTACATCCCCCAAAAGGTAGGTTTGAACGTTTGAATCTTCGTGCTCTGCTACTCTAACTTGATTTGGCTTCCATTTGGCTGTGGCTGCACTAAGATGGATGGTAACAGTAAGCTTATGTGCGTTGGTGGTAGTGCGGTAAAATTCAAGGCTGCCTTTACTTGCTGCTGTCAAATCAATAACAGAATAACAGAGTTGGAAGGGATCTTGTAGGTCAGTGATGGCGAACCTTTTCAGCGCCAAGTGCCGAAAGGGTCATGTGGAAACATCGCGCGCGCACGCACGCTCGTCGGAGCCGTGCTCCGGAAAAGCCGAACTTCCAGATTCTGGTGCACATGCACACCCAATAATCAGCTGGCCAGTGCGTATGTGCACTCCTGTTTTCAGCACTGCCATGTGCACAAAGGACAACTGATCGGTGGGCGCACATGCACGCCAGAAACCCAGAAGACAAACAGGCAAGGCCTTGCATGCCAGGTGACATGGTTTTGCGTGCCACTTTGGACATGCATGACATAGGTTCGCCAGCACTGTTGTGATGTGTCATCTAGTCCAACCCCCCGCCTAAGCAGGAGACCCTACACCATTTCTGACCGATGGCAGTCCAGTCTTTTCTTGAAAGCTTCCAGTGATGAAGCTCCTACAACTTCCAAAGGCAACTTCTGTTCCATTGTTTGATTGTTCTCACTGTCATTGCGCGACTCCTGCATTTTGCCTGACCTAAACTGCATTTAATCTAGTTTGGCTGCAAGAAAGAAATGGCTATGTGGATTTGTTTCTGTCTTACGTATGTTTCTGTGTCCCGGTCCTCTTATTTATTTATTTATTTGTTTGTTTGTTTATTTTTAATTTGATTTATATGCCGCCCTTCTCCGGAGACTCAGGGCGGCATACAGTGCGTTAAGCAATAGCCTTCATACTTTTGTATATTTTATACAAAGTCAGCTTATTGCCCCCACAAATTGGGTCCTCAATTTACCTACCTTAGAAAGGATGGAAGGCTGAGTCAACCTTGAGCCTGGTGAGATTCGAACTTACTTTAATTGCAGACAGCTGGTGTTAAATTACAGTGCTTAGTCTGCAGAGCTATCCAGGCTCCAATTTATTTATTGGTTCGATTTATATGCCATCCTATTCCGGAGACTCAGGACGGCTTACAATGTGTTAAGCAATAGCCTTCATACTTTTGTATATACCTGCTTAGTAGGGCTTTTGCGCCCCCTCCCCAGCAGTGTTCTTTTTTATACAAAGTCAACTTATTGCCCCCACAAACCGGGTCCACATTTTACCTACCTCGAAAGGATGGAAGGCTGAGTCAACCTTGAGCCTGATGAGATTTGAACTTGCAGTAATTGCAGGCAGCTGATGTTACTTAACAGTGCTTTAGTCTGCTGCGCCACCAAGGCTCTTCTTTATGTGCTGGTCTCACATTTCTCATTGTCACCAAGACACTTGCGATTTCTTTTAACTCTTCCTTCCCCACAACGTTAGAGCCTCCTGTGGCACATCTGCCAAAGATACTGTCGGTTACCAATTAGAATAGAATAACAGTGTTGGAAGGGACCTTCGAGGTCTTCTAGTCCAAGCCCCTGCTTAGGCAGGAAACCCTACACCACTTCAGACAAATGGTTAGCCAACCTCTTCTTAAAAACTTCCAGTATTAGAGCATTCACAACTTCTGGAGGCAGGTTGTTCCACTGATTAATTGTTCTCACTGTCAGGAAATTTCTCCTTAGGACCTATTTAATTTATATATGTCACCCATCTCACTATTACAGCGACTTTGAGTGGCTTCCAATGGAATAAAAGGGTAAGCAATGCTTTTTAAGCAAGAGCCGTGGTGACGCAGTGGTTGGAATGCAGTATTGCAGGCTAACTCAGTGCTCACTGCGGGGAGTTCGATTCTGACCAGCTCAAGGTCGACTCAGCCTTGGTGGCACAGTGGTTAGAGTGCAGTACTACTTCTGCTGACTGCCAGCTGACTGCAATTTGGCACTTCGAATCTCACCAGGCTCAAGGTTGACTCAGCCTTTCATCCTTCCAAGGTCATTAAAATGAGGACCCAGATGGTTGGGGGCAAGAGGCTGACTCTAAACCGCTTAGAGAGGGCTGTAAAGCACTGTGAGGCAGTATATAAGTCTGAGTGCTATTGCTATTAGGAGCCCTGGTGGCGCAGTAGTTAGAACGCAGTATTGCAGGCTAACTCTGCCCACTGTCAGCAGTTCGATCCTGATTGGCTCAAGGTTGACTCAGCCTTCCATCCTTCCGAGGTGGGTAAAATGAGGACCCAGATTGTTGGGGGACCAGAGGCTGGCTCTGTAAACCCCTTAGAGAGGGCTGTGAAGCAGTATATAAGGCTGAGTGCTATTGCTATATACATCTAAGTGCTAGTGCTACTGTTATTATCTTTTAGTAATAATTCTCTTCCCATTTTAAGACTTGAAAGAGGTAGAATCGGCTTAAGCCAGCTGCCTTTTCTTAACCTGATTTTTTGTTGTTGTTGTTGTTGTTGTTGTTCCCCAGGCAGAATGTCCACCTGGCTGTTCACGCTGAGAACTTCAAGTCTGAAATTGTCGATGTGAAGAAGATGAGAGACATCTGGTCATGGATTCCCGAGCGCTTTGCTCTTTGTCAACCTCTACTGCTGTTTACCACCTCGGAGCATGGCTTCAGCCTAAACAGGTAGCAGTTAGCTCAGTGGTGAAATCTAAAATTTGTTAAGACCGGTTCTGTGGGCGTGGCTTGGGGGGGGTAATGTGACTGAGTGGGCGTGGTCTTTTTTTTTTTTACTTTTAAAAGTAAAAGTGAAGAGGTTGTATAAAAATGCTTTCAAAAGGCTCTGACGATCCCAGCTGAGTTGCCTGATCGGCAGAGGCTTTTTTTTTTTCTTTTAAAAGCCTCTTCCGATCAGGCAACTCAGCTGGGATCGTCAGAGGCTGTCAGATGTAAATGCCTTATTCTCCAATGTGTAAATAATGTATATAATGGAACATCAGAGGTTAACTTATTCTTTGGACTTTAATGTATTCATAACCTACCACTCCCATTCCTAGCTCCACCCCTTGTATATATAAGGAGCCACCCTCACCATTCTTGCTGCTTCTACCTTGAATATTCAGTGAATATAGAATGCCTATCATAATTAAAAAGAAATATATTTTAAAGCTCTAACTTCTATTATCTTTATTGAGTCTGATCCTGAAAATATTGCAACAAGCTGGTAGCAGAGGATGGTTAATTGACTCAATAAGTAATTAAAAATGTCCAAGAAAGATAGGCCCAACACCAGGGCCTACAGCAAAGAAATAGAAACTGATCAAGAGATGATCAACGAATCCACCAATGCGATTTCGAGAGAATCCGAAGAATACACCACTGAAGAAGAAGAACTAATGAGTGAAAATAATGACCAGAAAGAAATCGAAATAGAAAATAACGAACTCAGGTCAGAGATATTAAAGATACTAAAAAGCCAAAAGAATGATGAAAGTCTCATCGCGGACCTCCAGGAGATGCTGAAGAACAGCGGAGCAGCGAGAGAGAAAAACGTCATTAAAGAAAAACCCAAAGATCAAAAAACCGTAAGTGAGATGACTACTGAGAAAATAGTTGTTAAAAAGAAAAGAAGTGATCCCGCGCGAAATTTTGAATGGCAGCCATCTTGGTTTCAACGAACTTCAAAAGAGAATGGAGCAGAGCCAATCAAAACGCTCAGTTCAAAATTTCTGGCGCGAAAAACACTATCAGACGAAGAAAGTGAGAAAGAAGTCTCAAACTCTTCAGATGATTCAAAATCAGAAAGTGAAGACGATTTAACAAAATCTCAAGTAAAATCAGCAATGAAAACGCTTTTTGCTGCTTTTGGGCCAAGACTGAAAATTACCAAGACATCTACGAAGAAGCAAGAAATCAAACCGGCGACTCAAGACCTGCACGCTCCCATCCTGATTTCGAAAGCGACAACGCCCGAGCCCAGAGAGCCATGCCGATTTCGCCCTACACCACAGACAAGATCGAATACCAACGCACACAAAAAAGAAAAAAGAACCGTCGCCACCACCAGAACCCCAAAAACCGAGCCAGAGACCGACTCATCTGAGGAGGAGCGGATCGAGAGAGCTGAAAGGGAGAGAACCTTCCACGACGCCACCAAAGAAGAAATGAGCAACGCGCATGTGCGAAACTACGTAGACAACCCAGAAGGACTTGAACTGGCCAGAGAACCGCGCAGACTCATTGCAAGCATCCCAATGCCGTTCTGTAATTTCCTGCACTTGAGAGATCACGGACTGCCCCAGGTTGTAAGTAATGGACAGAATAACGTAGGTAACTTACCAAGTGACTTCCCAAAACTTAGAATTGATGGCATTAATTTACAAGAGTGGTATCAACAGCTTCAGGTTATTTTCATGAAAGAAAATTTACTATTCTTTATAACTAGCCCTCCAAGAAGACCTTGGACTTTAAAAATAGATTGTTTACATCATAGAGCATTTTTCATAATAATATCTAGCGTGTCTCCTGCAATGTATCATAGCATCAAACCAAACCTAACTGTATCAGAAATAATTCAATGCATGTTTAATCTATTTCACAGCGATAGCGTAGCTACAACCACAAGAATGTCTAAGGATTTCTTTTCCTCTAGAGTAAAACCAGGGGTTTCTATAAGTGAGCATTTGATAAATCTAAACAAAATAAGAGCTGAGCTACAATTGAGGGGGGAAGTGATTTCAGATCAAACAATGAAAAGTGTTATTATCAATTCACTTGATCCATCATGGGATAGCTTTATGTCACACTTAGATACCATAATTTGGGATATTTATCCATAGAAAGTCTATCTAACAAATTGATAGCAGAAGACAATTCAAGAAAAAATCGATCCAGTAACCAAACAGACCACAAACCTTTTAGGAAAGTAGTCTTTCAAGATAAACATAATGAGGCCTTTAGATGCTACAATTGTGGATCCAGGGAACATAGTAGAAGAGACTGCCCCAAAGTCTCAAGAGAGAGACATAGGCCAGAATATAGGAGCAAATATAATTACAGACAATCTTCCACAGATAGACACAAATATAGAAGTCCACCAAATTACAAAGAAGGTAGAGGGGGTAGAGAAAACTCAATAGAGAGGAAATCTGGGTCACTGAATGGGCTAAATAAACAAGACAGCACCAGAACACAGCAGGATGAGAATAACAATTGGCTTATTGATTCTGGTGCAACAAATCACACCACCAACAACAAAAGTATATTATCTTCATTTATAGAAGATAAGTTTGTGATAAAGGTAGCTAACCAAGAAAAGGTTCAAGTACTAGGCAAAGGAAATGTGACCTTGCCTGGTCTAGGGAAAATAGAGGGGGTATTATTAATCCCAGAAATACCTCACAACATACTAAGTGCCATAAAATTAAGCAGAGAATCTGATATCAATATAGTTTTCTCAAAGGGGAAAGCAACTATAGAAAAGAACAAAACAAATGTAGGTACTGTAATGATAAAAGGAGGTCTACCCTATCTGATAACTAAAGAAAGATGTTTACATAACATTGATTCAAATATGGAAGATTGTATTGAAGCAGATGATGAAAATGTCAGTAACAGTGACAATGATGAGTGTAGAATAACTCATGATCACAAAAATACATACAAGGAAAAGAAACCAAAAATAGGTAAACCAATTCATGATGAGTGTGCTCACATCTTACACAGGAAGTTAGGACATGCAAGCTTTCCTGTAGTACAAAAAATGACTGAACACGCAGAAGGTGTCAAAATAAAAAATTGTGAAAATTATTTGGAATGCTCAGTATGTAAATCCACCAAACTAAAAACCAGTCCCAGACCAAAAAAATCTAACAGATCAACTAACAATATTTTTGATTTGGTACATATGGACTTAGTTGGTCCATTAAGTCCCTCAATTACCTATAGAAAACGTTACTTCCTAACAATAGTGGATGACTACAGCCGATATGGTTTTGTTTACACATTAAAGCACAAGGATGAAACATTTCAGAAATTTAAGGAATTCTACAAACGTATAGAAACACAACATAATATCAGAATAAAGCAAATTATGACAGATAGGGGATGTGAGTTCATGTCTAAAGAATTCTCCCAATGGTTAAAGGATAGAGGAATGTTACATTTCACGTCCAATCCTTTTTCTGCATTTCAAAATGGAGTTGCAGAGAGGAAAAATTCCACACTACAAACCATGATTAGGTGCACATTAGAGGATGCTGGTTTAGGCAAACAATTTTGGTCAGAGGCATTACATTATTCAAATTACACTCAAAATAGAACCTGGTCCAGTATTGTGAATAAGACACCATATGAGGTGATGTACAATAGAAAACCCAAATTATCACACATGCACATATTTGGGGTCACTGCAGACGTACACATACCTAAACAATTGAGGAGAAAGGGAGAAAAGGTATCCAGGAGATTAAGATTCATGGGATACGAAACTGGAACCAAAGGGTACAGATTTATTGATAGTAATAACAAATTTATAGTATCCAGAACGGCTGTGTTCCATGAACAGGCCAATTGGTCAAAATTGCACCTTAATGAAATATTTCCTAATAAATGTAAAGATACGATATCTTACGAGGAAGGAACAACAGAAAATCAAAATATTAACAAAAGTAAGAACAAAACCAAAACTTGGACTAATAGTCAGCATAAAATAAAGACAGATACATTAACAAAAAAGGAAGCTAGATATTTGCATGATAACCATAGCAAGCCTGAAAGAACTATTAGAAACAATAGAAACCAAATACCAAATAAATACAAAGATTACATAATGCATATGAATGGAGAACAAATAACACCTAATACATATGAAGAAGTATTGAAACTTCCACATGAAGAAAGAGAAAAATGGGAACTAGCTATGGAAAAAGAGATGGAAAGTTTACAAGGATTAAATGTATTCACACCTGCGATCGCACCTAAGGATAAAACAATTATAGGTACCAGGTGGATTTATAAAATTAAGAACTTAGAAGGAGGCAATACCTTATACAAGGCTAGACTAGTTGCACAAGGCTATGCACAAAAATACCCAGAAGACTATACTGATACATATTCACCCACAGTGAGAACAGAGAGTGTCAAAACAGCCCTTGTAGTAGCATCTGCACTCAATCTGGACGTATTCCAATATGACATACAGACCGCATACTTACATGCAAAATTAGATAAGGAAATATATGTAAGAGCACCACACAGTCAATACACTAATAAGAACGAAATTTGGTTATTAAATAAGAGTCTGTACGGATTAAAGCAATCCGGCAAAAGATGGTACGATTGCTTGGTAAAAGTACTTAAGACCATGGATTTCAACGCCACCACTGCTGATAACTGTTTCTTTGTAAAAAAGAGTAATGATCATATTGAATTTGTATTAATTTACGTGGACGATATTTTATACATTGGAAAGCATAAAGAGAGCAGGGAAATCTTTGTAAATAAGTTAAATGAACACTTCTCACTGAAATCTCTGGGTAAAGTGAATAAATACCTTGGTGTGCAAATTAACAAAACTAAAAGGGGATTCAAACTTACAAGAAAGATAAAATCATCGAACTCCTAAACAAATGTAACTTAAATAATGCCAAAACCTGTGACACCCCTATGCAAACTGATTTTCTTAGAAACACTGATGAATCTTCCCCTGAGTTTAAAGACAACACATTTTACAGATCAGTTATAGGTTCACTCCTTTATATATCTAATTGGACTAGGCCAGATATTGCATTACCTCTCAATCTACTGTCAAGATATGTTAGTAAACCAACCTTGTATCATTGGGAAGCTGTCAAAAGAATTCTAAGATATCTGAAGGGTACATTAGATTTTTGTTTAATGTTGGAACCCAATAATGACAGAGAACCAAAAATTACTTGTTATGCTGATGCAGATTGGGCTGGTGATACATCATGCAGAAAGAGTACTTCTGGTTATGTTTTCCTATTGAATGATTGTCCAGTTTACTGGTATACTGGTAAACAAGAACTAGTAGCCACTTCTACTACAGAAGCGGAATATGTTTGTTTGTCCAAGGCTGCAAATAACCTTGTATGGTTCAATGATCTGATCACTGATGTTTGGAAGAAACCCACTTTACCATTTATTATGCATGAAGACAATAAAGCGGCCATTGAAATATCCAGATCCGATGCAATTGGACAAAGGTCCAGGCATATTGATATAAAGTTTAAGCATGTGAGACAACTGTCTCAAGACGGATTCATTAAAGCAATACATTGCGATACTTCTGAACAATTAGCTGACATATTAACAAAACCCTTACCTTCTAAGCAACACAAATATTTAACTTCTAAATTATATGTATTGTATTGTCCTGAATCAGAATGTAATTGGTGTTGTGTAACGAACCGGCATTTAGAGGGGGATTTGTCAGATGTAAATGCCTTATTCTCCAATGTGTAAATAATGTATATATGGAACATCAGAGGTTAACTTATTCTTTGGACTTTAATGTATTCATAACCTACCACTCCCATTCCTAGCTCCACCCCTTGTATATATAAGGAGCCACCCTCACCATTCTTGCTGCTTCTACCTTGAATATTCAGTGAATATAGAATGCCTATCATAATTAAAAAGAAATATATTTAAAGCTCTAACTTCTATTATCTTTATTGAGTCTGATCCTGAAAATATTGCAACAGAGGCATTTAAAAGAAAAAAAGCCTCTGCCCATCAGGCAACTCAGCTGGGATCATCAGAGGCTTTTAAAAGCATTTGACAATCCCAGCTGAGCGCATGATCATCTGAGGCTTTTTTTTTTTTACTTTTAAAAGCATTTTTTCGGCCAAAGAGGTTGTAGAAAAAATGCTTTTAAATTTTTTTTTAAAAAAAGCCTCTGATGATTGTGCGGCTCAGCTGGGCCTGGGGGGCGGGGGGGCAGGGATTTTTGCTACCGGTTCTCTGAACCACCCGCCTCCATCGCTACCAGATCGGGCGATCCGGTCCGAACCGGGAGCATTACACCTCTGAATTAGCTCCATTATTTATTTATTTTTAAAAAGGATTTGTAGTAGGAAAAAGTTATCGATGTTGTCCCTGCATTGATGGTGCGCCATCAAGTCAGTGTAAACCTTTAGCAACCAGGTGTATTTTCTCTGGGACAATCAGTCCCCAACTTGGTCCTACCCACTTGCCAACAGGATGATTTTTAAAAAGTTGGGTGAGGAGTGTGGAGAGCCTGATTCAAACCTCTTCCCAACTCTGAAACTCACCATGTGTCTTGGGCCAGTTTCTGTCTCTCTTTGAATCTACTACCATGTTTCCCCGAAAATAAGACTGTCTTATATGTCTTTGAACCCTGAAATAAGCGCTTGGCCTTATTTTCAGGGAGGTCTTATTATTTTGGGGCGCGTGGAGCAAGACGGGGTTCCTCTTGCCGTCTTACCTGATTTCCAGCTCTGCTTTTAAATATTTTCGGGGAGGGCTTATTTTCAGGGGGGGAGGCTTATTTTAGCGCATGCTAAAATAAGGGCTCCTTTTGGGCTTCTTGTCAGGGGATGTCTTATTTTGGGGAAAACAGGGTAGCTTGTGAAGTTTGATTGAGAATAAGATGAGAGTTGTCAAAACTCTTATCACTTCTTTCATGCCTTTAAAGGCTATAAAATTAAGCAAAATAAAGACTATAAAATTAAAGGCTATAAAGTTTAAACCTGCATTCTTTTTGTGATGCCTATACGATGGGTGTACAATTACTGTAACTCGATTAATTGTTTATTTGCCCTCACATCAAGTACAATGCTCGTTTTGATGGATGGAGCTTTTTAATTCCTATTGGATTAAATTTATCGGAAGGTTTAAACGATGTTGCACTGCATTGATGATATTTTTATCCTGTCTGTCTGTCTGACTGTCTGTCTGTCTGTCTGTCTGTCTATCAATAAATAAATAGTTATATATAATTTCCTTTTACGACCCTGAAATCCCTTAATTTGGGGTAGAATCAGGGCGACTGGATGGAGCTGAGCATTTACTGGCCGGATGCCCTTCCTAACGCCTATGTGGAGTTCGCAGCAGATATTTTTTTTTCTTTGCGCCCTAGGAGAAAAACATCTGCCGCTACCTAGGATTGAACTCTCAACTCCCAAGTGGAAGGCTAGCATCTTCACCATACGTAATATCCCTGCTTCATAAATATACTACATGTCTGTGACTCTGCCAGATCCTAGGGGAATGTATTCAATTAGTAGAAGATAAATTAATGCTTCAGTAGAAGTTGAATTGAGGTTTCATAAAGAAATCTTTTTATACCTATGTTTGTACATTAGGTTTTACCCACATTGTGAGGGACATGAACCGACTCTCCTTTTGATTAAAACAACTATGCAAGAGGTAAGTGAGAGGATGAAGAACAGCCTGGTTAGAGGCTCCCTTGGTGAATTTTATTAGCTTGAGTAAAGCAACGTCTTAAGATTTTCTTCCCCTAACTAAAAGCAGAAATTTCCATTGTTGCTTTCTGTCAGAGGCAATTAGCCCCGTTACCTTCCTGGGGTAATTGCCTGGATCGTGGCATTTTCCTTGTGTATACTTTGAAAAATAAAACCGGAATACATCTTCTAATAAACTCATATTTATTGTAAAGAAAATAAAACATCTAACTATCTAAATATTTAATTGTTACATTTTTGCAAAGTTCCTATCGGCTACTTCTCAGCAGCCGGACTTCTCTTGGCAAGAGAACAAAGAAAAGTGAAGAAGCAAGTGAAAGAATGCGGACATGCGTAGTATCAGTTACTGATAAGAAATTTTGGCAAGCTACGGAAAGTCTGACAGTCCAGAAATATGAACTCAGCTGGTAAATACAAAAATGCAGTGACACTTTCTTTTCAACGAAAGTCCCCTAGATGCTCCTGTTTGTTGCATTTACCACCCAAGATTCATTGGAGGCACACTCAGAGGTTTAACACACTTGGCTTTTAATCTGCCAGGGTTGAGATGACAACTGACACAACAGTTATCGTCAGGTCCAAGAACGACATACGGCATTACTTAAAAGCAGTGGTAAAATCCAAATTTTTTTACTGTAGGTGTGGCTTGGTAGGCATGGCAGGGGAAGGATACTGCAAAATCTCCATTCCTTCCCCACTCCAGGGGAAGGATACTGCAAAATCCCCATTCCCTCCCCACTCCTGGGAGAAGGATATTGCAAAATCTTCATTCCCACCCCACTCTGGGGCCAGCCAGAGGTGGTATTTGCTGGTTCTCTAAACTGCTCAAAATTTCCGCTAATGGTTCTCCAGAACCTGTCAGAACCTGCTGGATTTCACCCCTGCTTAAAAGTAGTTTCCTGTATTCTTCACCTAGACAGACTCTTGCCAGACTAAAGCAATTATCTGTATCACTGTAGCTCTACTTTGTGAACTGCTGGGGTGGCGTGGGGGGGTATCCTTCCTGCCTACCAGACATTCCAAGCTCCGCTGACTCTTTGCTCTCTGGAAAGCAGCCCCTCCCTAATGGGAATCTAGACTATATTCCACCACAACCATATTGACTTTCTCAAGATTAGATTAGAATTCTTTATTGGCCAAGTGTGATTGGACACATGAGGAATTTGTCTTTGGTGCATACGCTCTCAGTGTACATAAAAAGACAAGATACATTTGTCAAGAATCAAGATACAACACTTAATGATATTTATAGGGTACAAATAAGCAATCAAATCATACTAGGAAACCATCAATATAAATCGTAAGGATACAAGCAACGAAGTTACAGTCCTGCAGTCATAAGTGGGAGGAGATGGGTGATAGGAACGATGAGAAGTTTAATAGTAGTGCAAACTTAGTGAATAGTTTGACAGTGTTGAGGGAATTATTTGTTTAGCAGAGTGACGGCATTCGGGAAAAAACTGTCCTTGGGTCTAGTTGTTCTGGTGTGCAGTGCCCTATAGCGTCGTTTTGAGGGTAGGAGTTGAAACAGTTTGTGTCCAGGATGCAAGGGATCTGTAGATATTTTCCCAGCCCTCTTTTTGACTCGTGCAGTATACAGGTCCTCAATGGAAGGCAGGTTGGTAGCCATTGTTTTTTCCGCAGTTCTAATTATCCTCTGAAGTCTGTGTCTGTCTTGGTGGGTTGCAGAACCAAACCAGACAGCTATGGAGGTGCATATCCGATTCCTAAAACAGTGTCTTGTTTACTGTGCCCCCCCTTAGGTCTGTGGAGCTTATTTGTCGACCGACTGGCATGAACGCAAACGAGGAGGAGGCAAGCTAAGTTACTTTGGGACAGGAGAATGTTTTGTATTCAGGGTAAGAAAACCATTGTGACTTTCTTCCAGATGACTTCAAGCCTTCAGCCTTCACACTTGCTTTTTTTCATTTAATCTCCTGCCCTTTTCCAGCTGGTGCCCGAAGTGGAACGATACGAGTGGGTTATAATCAAACACCCAGAACTCGCCATGACCGGCTCTGTACAAGAAAACAATTCTTCGGTCGTTTCTGACTCCCCTTCCTCAACCAATCTGCCCCTGGATCCTTCCAGTCGCCTTTCCCCTTTCCTATCGGCCCGGCATTTCAACCTGCCTTCCAAAGCAGCGTCCATGTTTATGGCCGGTAGCACTGAATGCATCATCATAGGTAGGTTTCCATTTTTCCAGCTTCCTCTCAAAACGGCTGATTGTATTTTCTAGAGAGAAATGAGTCTTACGTTCTGTGCTCTCCGTTAGCGCTTGCGGTGTGGCTGCTTTAACACTGTTCATTTGCGAACAGACAAAATTATCTGGGAATGTGGGTCAGGGTGGAAATGAATATGCAAAATGCTGCGGTGACTACCGTATTTTTCGGAGTATAAAACACACTTTCCCCCCCCCCAAAAGAGGGTGAAAATTTGGTTGTGTCTTATACATTGAATGTAGCCCCGCCCACGAGGCCAAAAACGTGAGGCACGGAGGCAGTGATGGTTTTTGGCAATCCAACAGCTGATTGGGGGATATTCCGGGAGGCTGATCCACCCGCCAATCAGCCGCTCATGCTGAATCAGGCTGCAATAACGTGCTGAAGCTGACCTGGCTGTTTGCTGTTTGCTGCAAGGACGTGTCAGAGTTTGCAGCAGCAATCACATCCAGAAAGCACCCACAAGTAACTGATTCAGCAGGATTCAATAACTTCTCTTTATATATAATATAACACATGAAGTAAATGTACAATACCAGAAGCAGAAACGTTTCATGACCCAATTGGGTAACATCATCAGTGCTAGAAGGGAGAGGGGTTTGTCGAGTGGAGGAGTACGAGGAAGACTGTGGCGTCCTTGGTGCCCTCTGAACTTGGTGGTTTTCTTGCAGACATTTCATGACCCAATTAGGTAACATCATCAGAGTTCACCAAGAACCCTTCATTTCAACCCCGAGCTACAAATATTCTCCTTTATTGCTTGGGACAGTCACAATCTTTTAATTCCAAAGCAGCCTGGTTAAAGGAACTAGAGGCAGGTATTGGGAAATATATTGAAAGCATGAGTGTTTCTCTTCTGTCTACAAAAGTACAGGTTGTCCTTGCTTAATGACCAGTCACTTAAAAACTGTTCAAAGTTACAATGAACCCCCCCCCCAAAAAAAAAGCTACTTAACAACCTGATTCCAGAGTTCCAACAATGGTACATGCACATATACACCACGATCATATGACTGCATTTAGCGTGCTTGGCAGCCGGCGAAAGCTTTGCAGCTGATTCCAGCGTTCTGCAGTCATGTGACTGCAATGTACAAGATTTTTCAGATTTCTAACTCTTCAGACAGTTTCTAGCAAAAAATAAAAAATAAAAAAATCCCACAGGAATACAGGAATTGGTTTAATAACTACACAGTTTGCTTAACGACCGCTGTCTCCGCTTCGTGGCCATGGCATTTGCTTAATGAGTGGTGCAAAAAATATCGTAAAATCGGGAACAATCATGTGGCTGCCTCAACTTGTGTCTGTCATGATTTATGACCAAAATTCCGGTTCTGTTACAGACATAAGTCAAGGACTATGTTGTGGCGTGCCAGAAGAGCTGGCAGCAGATTCAGACAGTGAGGAGGTTGGGGAGGAACATGGGCCAATCCTGGAGTCTGGGGAAGGCTCTGATGAGGGCTCTGCGTCGGAGGCAGAGAGGGGGCCAGGGCCGTCTGACAATTGTCAGCTGCCTTCGGAGTCGGACATCAGTCAGGCAGATGAACAGCTGGAGCCTGTTCCCAGTGTGCGTATGCGCAGAGTTGCCAGACGAAGGGAACAGCTAAAGAACAAGGGTCGATTTGGGAGTAAGGCCACAGGGGGACAATGAAGGGCCCCTCCCAGAGGGAATAAAAGAGGAGCAAAAGTTTGCAATTTTGAAGATATGGGCCTGGCAGCTCCCCAAGCCAGATAAGGTCTGTGACTGTAAATTCTCCCTTGAAAAACTTTGCTGGATATGAATGAGAAGAATTCACAGTAACTTAATAAAAAGGGGTTTTTGTCGGGACAAGGAGTCTTCTTCGGGGTTTGGGGAAGCCTAGGTCAGAACAGACTATCTGTAATACAACAACCGTATTGTGAGATAGCACCAAGATGTAGACATTCTGACAAAATGACAACAACAACTCTCTTGTTTGCAGGTGGTGGCGATGGCCAAGCCCTCTATCTTGACGCAGACTTGAATCACGGAAGGACAGGTCATTGCAACACTTTCAACAATCAACCATTGTGCTCCGAAAATTTCCAAATAGCTATCATGGAAGTTTGGGGGTTCAAGGACACTATGAACAGCTGAGAAGGTTGCCCTCCTTCAACATCGACTAGCCCATGAAGTATTTCTCAAGTTTCTGTGCCCATTTCCATTTCCCAGGAACCAAGCTATCCTTTGAAGCCCCTCAATAATTAAGCTTCTTTGTATTTTGTCAAAAGCTAAAAATTGGAAGATCTCGGCTAAATCTGGGGCCTAGTTGTTTAGTCACCGTGTTTTTGTACGTGATTCCGTGTAGTCTAAGTGATTAGCCTCTTTCTGCTGTGTTGAGTTCGACGCACACCCTGATATTTTTGGTGGGAAGGAGGGATTTTAACATCCCCCCCTCAGTTGATCCATAACTCTATCAGCATTGACATCACAATTCAATGTGTATTGTGTTTTTTTTTCAGATCTTGAGAGATGTGGATGAGCCACTGATTCAGGGGTGAAATGCTACTGGTTCGCACCGGTTCAGGCGAAACCGGTTCGGTTCGCACCGGTTCGGGCAAACAGTAGTTAAAAAAAGCTACCAGTTCAGGCGAACCAGTAGTAAAAAAAAAAGCTACCTATTCAGGCGAGCCAGAATTTCCGACGATCAGCTGTGCCACGCGATTTATATTCGCTAGAAAGCAGGAAATCCTGCTTTCTAGCAAATCTAAATCGCGTGGCACAGCTGTTTCCCCCCCCCTCACTGTTCTACTTACCTTCTTAAGCCTCCTTTTTCCGCGCGCAGCATGCATTCGGCGTGCACTGCGCGTGCACGCAGAGCGCGCATTTGGCACACACCGTGCATGCACAGGCAGCGAACTAGTGGCAAACCACGGAGGATTTCACCACTGCATTGATTCAACCAGAAAGTCTCGTTTCTTATAAATATGAGCTTCCATCCAAAGTGGACTGTATATAATCAATGGATTATGATGCTGATTTCTTTCAGTTTTTTTCCCTCATTCTCACCCTCTGTGTATTACACCCTTCTAGGAATTCCCTGATCCTCACAGAGCTACAGTAGACGGAGAGATTTTATTGCATAGCACACAAACCACCTTCAGGTCCAACGGATTATTATCAGGCACTTACTTCTTTTAAATCTATTTAACCCTTGCTTTTTGTGTGTGTAAATGTGAGTCTGTTGTTGCTGTCCCGACTGTTAACTTTACTGGTAATTCCAATATGTGGGGAAAATACCTTTCAGGAGTCTTAATTTTCATTCTGCAGTGATGCACTGATCTGTAGACGTTAAGGGACCTCCCCAGCCCTCCTCATATTTTTCTGTTTACATTCCTGGTACCGCATATCAGTAATATACTTATTTTAGGTGATAGCTTCATGCCACTGAAGTCCAATGCAATATACATTGTGCACAGAAATATCCCCACCAGCCTTGATCCAGAGCAATGACTTGGTCCTTCTCTAGACTATCCCTCTGCATTTGTGCTTAGAGAAACAGTATTTCCAAAGCAGTATTAGCCATCTGATCTGAAACGGTTGATTGGTATATAAACCAGCCATTTCTCTAATTTCTCCATTAATTAGGACTGGTTGAGTTCTCCAGGCCTGCAATTTTTTTCAGTAACATGATGGCCTCTCTCTATATCTTCGTTTTGGTGCTGTGCATCTTGATTTTCAAGATGGGTATACTGAATTTGTGTGAATGTGCAGGTTTTACTTCCGATGGTGGGGTTCTTTTTTTTTTCCCCTCCAGAGACATTTGTGACATTTTGCCCCCCCCCCCCATACCTTTCCCCACTTCCTAATTTATATCTCCTCTTCGTCCAGTTATCCTGGCCTAGGTCTGTATAAAGTGTGTGACTCTGTGACTGTCCAGAAATCCAATTCATTTTATTGTAAAATAAAATAAAATAAACTGAATATGACTTCATTTTTCAAAGCAGCTTCATAATTCTTGGGGCCTGCTGTTGAGTTTTTTCTGCATCTAAGGTTGCTCCTTAGGGAAACAAGGTTGTTCCCTAAGGGTGCTGAGATCCTGAGATTTGGGCAAGGAGGGGGGGATCTCCCATAACTTCATGGCTTGATTCTTAACCATCTTGTCAACTCGCAAAGCATCCCTGGCCTGCTCCTGAGTTGCCATAAGCAAGGGGATGGGAAAACTAACCTTGCAGCTGCAGCGAGGGAGCACTTCAGTCAAAACAAAAGTACATTCCAGCCATCTCTCTGTCAAGGCCATCTCCCCGGTTACCCACAGTGGCCTGAGGGGAGTGATCTCTACAACCCTCGAAATTGTTTCGTTGGAGAATGTGACTGATGACACACCTTGGGGGGAGGGGGAAACAGGGTCAGAGCCGGGACGTAAATTAAGTGGGGTCAGAGTTGACTTCACTTGGAATGTGCCAACATGAAGCTCCTAATAAATAACTGGATTTCTTTTGAAGCTTGGCTCGAGGCTCATGATTTAATTGGGGCATTTCATTGGTTGCTGTTTTTTTTTATTATTATTATGATTTATATGCCGCCCTTCTTCGGAGACTCAGGGCGGCTTACAATGCACTAAGCAATAGCCTTCATCCTTTTGTATATTTATACAAAGTCAGCTTATTGCCCCCACAACTGGGTCCTCAATTTACCTACCTTAGAAAGGACGGAAGGCTGAGTCAACCTTGAGCCTGGCGAGATTCGAACCTGCAGTAATTGCAGGCAGCTGGTCTTAATAACAGGGTGCTTTAGACCACTGTACTACCAAGGCTGTTCAGATAAACCCTAAGGGAAAGGTCATTGCAAAGTTTCTTTCAAATCATATTTGATCACAGGTAGCCTGTCCACAATTGAGACCAGAATTTCCATGACTATGTAAGGTGATAGTTGTTTCTTTTAACAGTTTTATTTATATATTTTCACATTACATACATAAGTGTTTAGTGAACAGCATATTGTCTGGATCAATTTATTTTTAAACAGCACTACTCTTCCCACTCTTAATTTCGACCTCTACTGTCTAACCATTTATAAAACAAGTCCCATATTCGAAAATATTCCGTGTCTTCTTTTTCTTTTATTTTTTGTGTCAATCTGTCCATTTCTGCACAATCTAAATTTTTTTTAAATTACATCATCTGTGGGCGTTTCCTCGTTTTTCCAGAACTGTGCATAAACAATTGTTGCTGCTGTCAAGGCATGTAATATTAGATATAGATTCCCTTTAACATACTTTTCAGGTATTCTGCCTAGCAAGAATATTTCTGGCTTATAATTTATGTGTTGTTTTAATATTTTCTCCAACCATGTATGTATTTTTGTCCAATATTTCTTTGCTTTTACACATGTCCACCACATATGATAACATGTTCCCGGTGTCTGGGTTACATTTCCAACCTTTGGCAGACATATTTTTGAACATCTTTGCTAATCTTGCCGGTGGTAAATGCCACCTATAGAACATTTTATATAAATTTTCCTTATATGCAGTTGCCATTGTCAACTATCAATTTCTTTCCCAAAGATTTTGCCATTCATCTGAATCTATAGTATATCCAAAGTTCTTTGCCCATAATATCATTGTTTCCTTTACCTGTTCACTCATGGCTTGATTCTTAAGCATCTTTCATTGGTTGCTATTCAGATAAACCCTAAGGCATGTTGGCCAACCTTTTCGGCACCAAGTGCCAAAGCGGGAACACACGTTTGTGCACAGGGGAGCACCTCAGCATGGAGCTGAGCTTCTGGTTTCCAGCGTGCGCATGCTGCACCATTTTCCAGCGCTCCCACGTATGTGAAGACCAGGAAGAGCAACGGGTGACGTCTGGCGTGCCCAGAGAGATGGCTCTGTGTGCCACTTCCAGCACGTGTGCTGTAGGTTCGCCCTCACGGCCCTAAGGGAAAAGTCACCGTAAAGTTTCTTTCAAATCACATTTGATCACAGGTAGCCCATCCACAACTGAGACCAGAATTTCTGCAACCAAGTAAGGTGATGGTTAAGAGCAGTGGTGAAATCCAAATTTCTTTTATTACTGGTTCTGTGGGCATGACTTGGTGGGTGTGGCAGGGGAAGGATACTACAAAATCTCCATTCCCACTCCAGGGGAAGGATACTGCAAAATCTCCATTCCCACCCCCACTCTGGGGCCAGCCAGAGGTGGTATTTGCCAGTTCTCCGAACTATTCAAAATTTCTGCTACCAGTTCTCCGAACTGCTCAAAATTTCCACTACCGGTTCTCCAGAACCTGCTGGATTTCACCCCTGGTTAAGGGAGTCATGCCCAACTTACGACATTTCTTTTTGGGCTACGGCTGTTAAACAAATCACTGCAGTTACGTGAATCACGTGCTTGTTAAACAAATCCAGATGCTCCCGTGGACTTTGCTTTTCAGAAGCCAGCTGGGAAGGGTGGCAAACAGCAATCCGATGACCTCGGAATTCTGCACCCTTTGCAGATGCATTCCGGTTGCCAAGCTCCCAAATTTTGAACACGTGACTATGGAGATGCCACGGGAGTTTTAAGGGTGAGGACCAGTCGTAAGTCCCTTCTTTCAGCGCCATTGTAACTTTGAACGGGTTACTAAATAAAAGGTGGTAAGTCGAGGACTACCTGTACGTGAAAAATCCAAACTTGTTTTCTTGGAAATATAGTTGGGGGCATTTTTCCTGCATTGCTAAAATATTATTGCATGGTCAATAATATTTTCCAAAACTGATACCCTTCACATATTAGGGCTTCGATTCCTAGGATCTCTAGCAATCAATGCCGTTTCATATGTTGCAATTATGGGAGGGTTAAATTGATGGTTTTTAAGTGTACAATACGTTCGGACATGTCTTTAAACAGGAATGACAGTCATTGCCCACTTAGTCCTCTAGATGTCAGTGGTCACTTCATATACAGTCTAGCTGAGCGGTAGAACCAATTACTTGCCAAACGCATCACAGGACTGGTGATAATACAAGCTTAATTCAGAATAGAGCTAGAAGGGACCTTGGAGGTCTTCTAGTCCAACCCCCTGCTCAAACAGGAGACCCCATACCATTCCAGACAAGTAACTGACCAGTCTCTTCTTAAAAACCTCCAGGGATGAAGCACCCACAACTTCTGGAGGCAACTTCTGTTCCACTGGTTAATTGTCCTCACTGTTAGGAAGTTTCTCCTTAATTAGAGGTTGCTTTTCTCCTTGATTAGTTTCCATCTATTGTTTCTTGTCTTGCTTTCTGGTGCTTTGGAAAATAAGTTGACCCCCTCTTCTTGGGGGCAACATCTCAAATACTGGAATATTCCTATCATGTCCGTCCCCTGCCCATCCACCCCTCCTCCTTTTCTGTAGACTAGCCAAATCCAAATCCTTCAACTGTTCTTCGTATGTTTTGTCTCCGGCCCTTTAATCATCTTAGTTGCTCTTCTTTGCACTTTTTCCAAAGTCTCAACATCTTTCCTGTAATGTGGTGACCAAAACTGAATGCAGTATTCTAATAAAAACATTGTTATTCTAATAAATAATTCTAATAACAACATTGGAGAAGCCTTTTGTATTGCCCCTAGTTTTAAAAAAACGGCAATTCCTCTAAAGAGTTGGCAAAAAGGTAGAACCATCTTCAGGATGGTTGATGTGGTTCTCCTATACCTTGCCGAGATGGGGCTGGATGATCTTTAAAATCCCATCATTCTAAATTTTAGAGTATGTGTAATATATACCATACCATACCATACCATACCATAAATAACATAACATAACATAACATAACATAACATAACATAACATAACATAACATAACATAACATAACATAACATTGTTTTAATTTTTAAATTGTTTAATTATGGGTCTTAATACAGGGGTGTTTTTAATTGTGGGCCAAATTAATTTAATTGGATTTTAATACTGTTTTTAAATTTTGTATTTCTTTGTTTTATCTGTTGGCTGTTCACCGCACCGAGTCCTTCAGGAGAAGGGCGGTATATAAATATAAACAATACAATACAATACAATACAACATAATATTCTATATATATAAAAGCAAAAACCACTCACGCCATAATCACAAAATCTCCAGAACCGTAAAGCCTACAAACTTGAAATTCGCCACATATGTTCCTCTTGGCTTCTAGGTGCTCACTAAGAAGGGATTTTTCAAAATGACCATCAGAGCATTAGTATTTCCTATATTATGATTAACACGTGCTGATGCTAAGGAGTTCTACTCCCCCACCCCACCTGAGAAGAAATCTGTTCCAAATGCAAAACACAAGCAGAGGAGAAGAGTTTCACTTTCAGTTTTACTTTCACAGCAGCAACCAGGGGATAGGATAGGGGCGGCTTCTGTGGGGCAAGCCTGAAGGAGAGAAGGGGATAGGATAGGATAGGATAGGATAGGATAGGATAGGATAGGATAGGATAGGATAGGATAGGATAGGATAGGATAGGATAGGATAGGCTTCTGTGCAGCAAGGCTGAGGGAGAGAAGGGAAGAGAAGAAGCCGATCGTAACTACTCATTAATTTTTAAGCTGTAAGTGTTGAGTTATCAAGCCCGATCACATAGTTTCGTAGCGGAGCACGGGTATTCAGCTAGTATAATATAATATAATATTATAATATAATGTTGCTACACTTCTCAGGTGTAGATCTCTAAGCATTCTTCAAAAATGTATCTCTGCAAAGATCCAACCTAGAATTAAGGAGAAATTTCCTGATGGTGAGAACAATTAATCAGTGCAACATCTTGCCTCCAGAAGTTTGAGTTTTCCATCACTGAAAGTTGTTAAGAAAAGGTAGAATAGTCCAGAATGGTATGGGACTCCTGCCTTGAGCAGGGGGTTGGATTAGAAGACCTCCAAGCTCCGTTCCAACTCTGTTATTCTGTTGTTTTCAACGCATGGTTTCCATATAAAGCCTTATAACTTGCAGTGTGTTTATGAAAAGGGATTTTTCTATCTAGACAATATTGAT